AACGGTACGGAGGGAACAGATGTACCACGATGATGACTGCTACTTTTGTATGACTAAAGTAGCTGGATTCAACAAGAAGACTAAACATCGCATAATATACCTAAACATTCCTTTAGCAATAAGTCCTGTTCTACACTCTGAAGATATTCCTGTACCTGTACCACCTGAGACATGACAAATTTGATCAGAGTCTGATACCAGTGATTCTAAGGAGATAGAAGAAGACTATGAACCACCAACAAATGACGATCCCAAACCCTTCAATCAAGCTGAGCTCAATGACTTGGTGAGAGACCTTAACCTTCCAAAAGAAAGTGCACAATTACTTGGCTCTAGACTGAAGGAACACAGGTTTCTAGCTCCTGGAACAACATTCGCTTGGAACCGTCATCGTGAAGTGGAATTCACTCAGTTCTCTGACAAAGATGAATCTTTAGTTTTCTGTTCAAATATTTCTGGCCTTATTGAACACATGGGAATGTCATACAAAGCAGATGAATGGAGACTCTTTATTGATTTTTCTAAAAGAAGTTTAAAGACTGTACTTCACTACAATGGCAACACAGCTGCATCTGTGCCAATTGGTCATAGTGTCCAAATGTCAGAAACTTATGCAAATATGAAGACACTAATATCTGCAATCAAGTACCAGAATCACAATTTTCTCATTTGTGGTGGTTTAAAAGTTATTGCTCTCCTACTAGGTCTTCAAAGCGGATACACCAAGTATCCTTGTTTTGACTCACGAAATCGCAATGACACGATTGCAAACACACCATACCACGGGTGGGGTTTGAACCAGCGGTCAGACAGTCTCAAACGCGACTGTCTGGAGTTTTGAGACTCACTGACCGCGGGTTCAAACCCCACCCGTGGTATGGTTTATCCCTGTTTTCTGTATTTTTGGGATAGTAGGGCAGACAGCCAGCTCTCGAGCAAAAAGACTAGCCACCAAGAACCAGCTTCTTACCAGGAAATCACAACGTGAAAACTGTGCCACTAGTTGACCCCATGAAAATTCTGCTGCCACAACTCCACATCAAATTAGGGCTTATGAAAAATTTTGTGAAGACCTTGAACAAGAATGGATCTGCTTTCAAGTACCTGGAGTCAAAGTTTCCTCGTATAAGTGAAGGCAACCTAAAGGCCCTCAGATTCGGGAAATTGATGAAGGACAATCATTTTGTTGGAGCATCAGCAGGTGTCGAGGTGAATGTCTGGTTGTCATTCAAGCAGATTGTCCACAACTTCCTGGGAAACAGCGCTCCCCCGAATGTGAAAAAATGGTCCAAGACCTGATTTCAAGTTTCCAACAACTTGGGTCTAGAATGAGTGTGAGATGTACTTTTTGCATACACATCTTGAATATTTTCCCCAAAATTGACTACAGTGAGGAAGAAGGAGAGCGGTTCCATCAGGATATTTGCACCATGGAAACTCGATATCAGGGCAAATGGCATGTCAGCATGATGGCGGATTACTGCTGGTCATTGAAACGTAATGGTCTCGATGCACAGCACAAACGAAAATCATAGTGGTCCTCCTTCCTTTGATTCAGTATGTAGGCTAACCATTAGGAGCAATTTTTTTTAATAAAATAATTTGATTTGATTCATGTTGATTTGGAATTCATATGTTCTTAAAACTAACAGAATGTGTTTTTCCATGATTAATTGCCTGATTTTAATAAATTAGCAATTTTTATTTTCATTAATTTGTATTTTATTCAAAGTCCTTACGCGATAGAGCAAAATGGTTTAGATATTTACAATCAGCAGCCAAAGAATATGTAAGATCCCAACCATGAATAAAAATAAAAATTAAAAACATTCCAAATGCAGACCAGTGTTATCTTTCAGTGGATATACAAAGATAGATGAAGTTAGAGTTATAACGATACCGATAATATGAATGAAAGGCCTCAGTACATACACTTAGGACATCAATATAGATCACATTGATCACCTTGGAGTGATCAACGTCAAAGGACCGAAATGTTTCTGATAATATATGTCCCTTGGTGAATGAACCTGTATCCTCTCATCCACACAAAGATACCTTCTTAGGCTGTAATGCCTATCAACTGCAATAATATCTTTAAGGCTGCAATTAACCGGTATTCTAAACCTGCAAGGGCTATGCAGCGTCTTGTGAGATAGCAGGAAACCAGAAACTTTCCAAGAAAAGCGTGGACAGTTCCCATTCTTTGGCTCAAGTGTCTTTCAGCATTTTAAAGAGTATTCGTGTATATACACTGAAAATTTTTCTCATCTTTGTGTATATATACTTTCCAGCACATAGACCTAAACCTCTCGCTGTATATGTAGGCCTATATAATCAGACTGCGTTCTTTGCTTATAAATTAATTTTATCAGATAAGCAAAGTGTAAACTCACTGTTGCATTATCTTTTCGAAAATTAAGCTAAAAATCACGAAATTAATATAATGACTGGAAGTTAAATAGTATTAAGAAAATAATGGATGGCCTAATATAGACTGGGTTGTGTGAAATTAAATTATATATAACCTTAATCATAACAAAGATAAGTGATGAAGCCAAGTAAATTCTGCTGCAAAATTAAAAACTTGTATACCATGATAATTTGTATACCATTGTAATTTGTATTCCATGGTAATTTGTATACCGTGATAATTTGTATACCATGGGAACTCCCACAAAAAATTATCAATACACAGATTTGGATTTTTTTTTTTAAGTATAGTTCGACTAGGCGGGGTTTTGTCTGTCAGGAAACAGGAAAGTGGCTTTTGAGTCAAGTCTGATTTAGATGATTCGTTCACTGATGAAGAAATTATTGTCCTACTGGTGCTGGCTCTCACTGGTCCAGCAACCCGCTGGTTTGCCGGTGTTACACTACCGTGGTTAAACAACCATGGCATACCAGTATTATACTGCAGTGGTTAAACAGCCGTCACTGGCTTACCAATGTTATACTGCCGTGGTTAACCAACCACTGGCTTACCAGTGTTATACTGCCGTGGTTAACCAACCACTGGCTTACCAGTGTTATACTGCCGTAGTTAACCTACCACTGGCTTACCAGTGTTATACTGCCGTAGTTAACCTACCACTGGCTTACCAGTGTTATACTGCCGTAGTTAACCTACCACTGGCTTACCAGTGTTATACTGCCGTAGTTAACCAACCACTGGCTTACCAGCACTGATAATGGAAGTGCTGCTCCACTTGTGCTATTGGCCAGTGGTTAAGCATACGTATCCATGGAGTAATCTGACCGACTCTGGTTAGTTTAGTTTATTAGGTTTGAAGCCTATCGACCACACAACGCTCATTAGAGCTGCATATCACCAGTATGGGCTACTTTTATGCCCTAAGATATGGAACAAGGTAAACTCTCTGCACGCACACATTGAGGCACGCAACTCTTGGTGAAAATAACATTTACTTGTTATTATGCTCGGTATCTGGTCAATGGCCAACTTTATTATGCTTGTTCAGTGTGTGTTGCTTAAATTGCTATGCTCGGTCAGGGGTTAGCGACAACGTTAGTATGCTCAGTCAGGAGTTTGTTGTCGCCATTGCCAATGTAAATACTACATATAATTTGCAACACTACACGGAATTTCTTAGACAATAATACATTTTTTCAACACCTATATTAAACTTTTGTTTATATAAATTGTGTTCTTATAAATCTTGCTAAAAAACACTGTGATTCACACGACTCTGAGCTAAGGAAGGAGTACAATAGATAAGGGAAAGGAGAACTATAACTTGAGAGGATGGGAAGGGTAGGTTGATAGGCGAAGGAAGGAGAGGAAGGTATGAGAAGTAATGGAGTAAAGACTGAAGAGGCGGAAAGGAAAAGAGGAATACTGAAGAGGACAAATAACAGGGAAAACTAGAGAGGAAAAGATGTCTATTGTCTTATGTTTTAAGAGGGAGCGGAGAAGATAGGCAAGACTTGAAGAATGGGGAGGAGAGAGCAATGTAGGGAAAAGGAAGACAAAAGGTGAAAAAAGTAGAGGCAATTGTGGTAGATAACACGATGAGGGAATGAGAAAGAGAAGAGAAGAGGAGCCGAACACAGAACAAAAAGATGGAAGGGAAGACTAGAAGAATTATTTGAATCGCAACGTCTGACAACACCAAAATTTTCCACATTAAAAAATCTTAAGCAACTTTGAATTGTGCGTTTGTGTGTTTTTTGTGATTAATGTTTGAACTTCAGTTGTTATTTTGCGTCTGTGAGGTACACATGGAGAGCTAAGTGGACCACTTCACCTGTGTCTGTGAGGTACACATGGAGAGCTAAGTGGACCACTCCACCTGTGTCTGTGAGGTACACATGGAGAGCTAAGTGGACCACTCCACCTGTGTCTGTGAGGTACACATGGAGAGCTAAGTGGACCACTCCACCTGTGTCTGTGAGGTACACATGGAGAGCTAAGTGGACCACTCCACCTGTGTCTGTGAGGTACACATGGACAGTTAAGTGGACCACTTCACCTGTGTCTGTGAGGTACACATTGACAGCTAAGTGGACCGCTCCACCTGTGTCTGTGAGGTACACATTGACAGCTAAGTGGACCACTCCACCTGTGTACATGAGGTACACATGACCCGCTAAGTGGACCACTCTACCTGTGTCTGTGAGGCACTCAGAACCTACTAACTGAACCATCGAACAGTATCTGTGGCACTATGGGGGTTCACTAAATGAACCACTCGACCAGCTTGAGCTCATATGATAGGATCTTGGACTATTTCAGGTGAGTTTTGGACTCACATGATTAGATCTAAAACCATTTACACCCACACTGAATCATCACTAGTAAAGTAAAGAAAAATTAGGCCGAAATGTATCCATATGCTAAGCCAACCGAGATCCAAGTGAAATGGTCTTTATTACTCCAAACCTTCTCTAAAGTCTTATCTTGGAGCATCTGACACTCAGAAATCTCCACTAGGGAGCCTGATACTTCTCCAATTCTCCCAAGGATCATCTAAAACCAGAAGGAATAATGCTTACCTGCCAACTTTGTAAAATTATAAACTATATGTAGTTATCCATTTCTTCCAAGATATTCTGAAGCACCATAAGAAACTACGAACAATCATTCATCTTTTTTGGTCCTTCAAGACGATTTCAGATTTTCACAATTTGTCGAGTTCTTCAAACGCCACCAGTTATGGCATACAAAACCCCAACATCCTATAGGCTTTGTTGGAAGGCAAAATACCGGCAATTTTGCTAATACAAAGGCGTTTATAACATTAATAATAGGGCAAAACTTCATTAGACAGCGTTTCATTGAAAGTTGAGTTGTTTTTCCAAGCGAAACTTTGTTTGATAAAGCTTTGCTTTCCTATGTTACTGTATTTCTCTACCCAAAAGCTTTATTGAAAACGGTCCTAAGGATAAATATATTGACGACCCTCACACACTGCCGACACTCATCTGGAATATCACAAGAAGACTTCAGAGACCTTTAGATCTCATTCTCGAGTTCCTCTTCCATGAGTGTTGCGTATGGGACAGGCAGGAGGGCGTCGTCAATGGTGTCTTGTCGCTGAAGAACGACAGCGTGGGAGTGGGAAGAATGGGAAGAATGATGAGTTGTCGTCTCTGGGGGCGTTGGTGATACCCGTAGCTCAGGTGTGGTGCAAACCGGGTCCCCGCCCGCCCACGACGGCCCAGCAGTAGGGGAGCGACGGAGACTGCTGACGGAGGTGCTGTCGAGACTGCGTCCCCTGGGTGCAGCATCCTGCAGGAGAGGTGTGGGGGAGCGGTAGTGCTCCAAGTCGAGACTCTGACTCTGACAGGAGCGTCGCCGGGCGAGATGATGGTTGTGATGGACGCTGGTGGCACCATCACTGTGTCCACACCCAGCCGAGGGTGACCCACGACCACCACACCCGCCATCTTCACTGTACCCGCGACCTGTAATGAAAACCAAACACATTGTAGGTGGGTCGCAACTCTTATTACTACTAGCTACTACTACTATTGCCACTACTACTACTGCTACTGCTACTACTACTACTACTACTACTACTACTACTAATAATAATAATAATAATAATAATAATGACAATAATAATAATAATTATAATAATAGTAACTGACGCTCGGCCAGCTCTGGCTGGATGTGGTTGCACTGTGTACTTTATCTAACGATTTGCAGGGTCGAGACTTCTCTGGCTTGAGGTTAATGTTTATAAGTTTTTCACTTGTTCACTTGTTTTCTAAGTCCAGAGCAGGATTTGAACCTACAAATTGTATCGAGTGCACACAGTACTTTATCCAGACTCCAGATAAAGTACTATATACTCTGGTGCTGTTTGCAGGTTCGAATCCTGCTGAGCTAAGATTGTCAATATTGTCGCCTGTTTGCGAATTGTTGATTTTAAGGTTTTGTGGGCGAGGGGCTTGGACTTCCAGCAGGCGTGCATGAGCGTGTTCGATAGGAGTGAATGGAGACGAATGTTATTTGGGACCTGACGATCTGTTGGAGTGTGAGCAGGGTAATATTTAGTGTAGGGATTCAGGGAAACCGGTTATTTTTATATAGTCGGACTTGAGTCCTGGAAATGGGAAGTACAATGCCTGCACTTTAAAGGAGGAGTTCAGGATATTAGCAGTTTGGAGGGATATGTTGTGTATCTTTATATGTATATGCTTCTAAACTGTTGTTCTGAGCACCTCTGCAAAAACAGTGATAATGTGTGAGTGAGGCGAAAGTGTTGAATGATGATGAAAGTATTTTCTTTTTGGGGATTTTCTTTCTTTTTGGGTCACCCTGCCTCGGGGGAGACGGCCGACTTGTTAATATATATATTATATATATATAAATATATATATATATATATATATATATATATTATATATATATATATATATATATATAGTTATATTTATATATATATAATATATGTAGTAGGCTGGTAGACAGCAACCACCCAGGGAGGTACTACCATACTGCCAAGTGAGTGTAAAACGAAAGCCTGCACGTAATTGTTTTACATGATGATAGTACTACTGGTGTCTTTTCTCTGTCTCATAAGCATGCAAGATTTCAGGTACGTCTTGCTACTTCTATTTACACGTAGGTCACACTACACATACATGTACACGTTTATGTATACACACTCAACTGAGTTTTCTTTGATTTAATGTTAATAGTTTTTGTTCTTATTATTTTTCCTTTCATATCCATGGGGAAGCAGAATAAGAATCTTTCCTCCGTATACCATGCATGTTGTAAATGGGCTAGTAATCCCTTTTCCTATATAACCTACTAAAAAGAAAAAGGAAGCCGTCAAAGTGGGATGCTTGAAAGTGCATGGGTGTTGTGCGAATGATAAGAAAGAGATGATTGTGGATGTTATGAATGAAAGAAGCTGGATGTCCTGGCTTTAAGTGAAACAAAGCTGAAGGGGGTGGGAAAGTTTCAGTGGAGAGGAATAAATGGGATTAGGTCAGGGGTTTCAAGTAGAGTTAGAGATGAAAGAAGGAGTAGCAATAATGTTGAAGGATAAATTATGGCAGGAAAAGAGTCAATATAAATGTATAAATTCAAGGATTATGTGGAGTAAAATAAGAGTTGGGTGTGAAAAGTGGGTTATAGTAAGTGTTTATGCACCTAGAGAAGAGAGAAGTGCAGAGGAGAGAGAGAGATTTTGGGAAATGTTGAGTGAGTGCGTGAGAAGTTTTGAACCAAGTGAGAGAGTACTTGTGGTTGGGAATCTCAATGCTAAAGTGGGTAAAAACGTTGTAGAGGGAGTAGTAGGTAAATTTGGGGTGCCAGGGGTAAATGAAAATGGGGAGCCTTTAATTGAGCTATGTGTAGAAAGAGGTTTGGTAATAAGTAATACATATTTATGAAGAAGAGGATAAATAAGTATACAAGGTATGATATAGCACATAATGAAAGTAGTTTGTTAGATTATGTATTGGTGGATAAATGGTTGATGGGTAGGCTTCAGGATGTACATGTCTATAGATGAGCAACTGATATATCAGATCATTATTTACTTGTAACTACAGTTAGAGTAAGAGGTAGATGGGGCAAAAGGAAAACGGCAACAGCAAGTAAGAGACAGGTGAGAGTGTATAAACTAAGGGAGGAGGAAGTTAGGGTGAGATATAAGCAACTATTGGCAGAAAGATGCAAGTATGAGTAGCAGGGGGTTGAAGTGGGTTGGAATAGTTTTAAAAATGGAGTATTAGAATGTGGGGCTGAAGTTTGTGGCTATAGAAGGGTGGGTGCAGGAGGAAAGAGAAGTGATTGGTGGAATGATGAAGTAAAGGGTGTGATAATAGAGAAAAGGGTAGCTTTTGAGAGGTTTTTACAAAGCAGAATTTCTATAAGAAGAGCAGAGTATATGGAGAGTAAAAGAAAGGTGAAGAGAGTGGTGAGAGAGTGCGAAAGGAGAGCAAATGATAGAATGAGAGAGACACTGTCGAGAAATTTTGCCGAGAATAAGAAAAAAATTTGGAGCGAGATAAACAAGTTAAGAAAGCCTAGGGAACGAATGGATTTGTCAGTTAAAAACAGAATAGAGGAGTTAGCAGATGGGGAACTGGAGGTAATGGGCAGAGGGCTGGAATATTTTGAGGAACTTTTAAATATCGATGAAAAAAGGGAGGCACTAATTTCATGCACTGGCCAGGGAGGTATAACATATTTTAGGAGTGAAGAAGAACAGGATGTGAGTGTGGGGGAGGTGCGTGAGGTATTACATAGAATGAAAGGGGGAAAAGCAGCTGGAACTGACGGGATCATGACAGAAATGTTAAAAGCAGTTGGAGATATAGTGTTCGAGTGGTTGATATTTTTGTTTAATAAATGTATGAAAGAGGGGAAGGTACCTAAGGACTGGCAGAGAGCATGTATAATTCCTTTATATAAAGATAAGGGAGACAAAAGAGATTGTAAAAATTATTGGGCTATGAGGGAAAAGTTCAACAGATAGGAGTAGCGAACGAGTATATGGTGACGATAGTTTGATTGCCCGGCTGCTTGTTAAGGTAGGGTCAGTATCTAGCTCTGGCTATCCCCTCCCCCTTTTCTCCACCCGGAAAGGTGATGTGTGGGGCTCCGACCAAATGGTAATCACGTGACTCATAGCTCCCAACACAACTGCAAGTAAAAGCCTCTGCTCCTATTCTAGTGGATATATTGGTTAAAAGCTTCACTTTTAACCAATTTTAAGACGTAGTTCATTCTGCCTTTATTTCCATGTGCTTTTAGATAATCATCATGTTTTTTAAATACTTTACTTATCATGGAGAGCGATTTCTTAGGCAGTGGGTAACCTTTGTCTCTTTCTAGCTTGGAATGTCAGCTCAGGTCATCTGGCAACCAAAGAAACAGTGTTGAAGGAGACGAACTTTGCCCAAGTTCTGGGACGTCACCATTTTATCTGCATACCTTAGTGTAGCCAACCCCAGGCAACTACCTCTCATCTTTGCAGTGGTGAAAGACCTGCGTTCCTATCATCTTGACGGATTATTCAAGGCTAGAGACTGTGAAGAACTAGTCGTTGGGTTGTCGCTCCACACCTGTGACCCCCCCATCATCAGCAACGGCTACAATTTCTACAACACGCGGTGTCAACAACATCAGACACCCCAGTCTAACTGTACATATTAGCGTTGAATTCAGATATTATTTTTATATTTCATTTTTCATTTCTCTTTCAAGTAGGATAAAAATTCATATTTAATTGTTTTATATTTTCATTTATAAATAATAAAGTGTTTATATTTGACTGTTATTATTCTTTTTCTATTCATTAATTTTCCTGAGGAGGAGCCAGCCTTGGTAATACTGAAGTTGTTACAAGCCTGAGTAAGCCTTCACAGGGAAATAAGTTTACATTGCATTTATGGATTTAGAAAAGGCGTATGATAGAGTGGATAAGGGAGCAATGTAGCAGATGTTGCAAGTGTATGGAATAGATGGTAAGTCACTAAATGCTGTAAAGAGTTTTTATGAGGATAGTGAGGCTCAGGTTAGGGTGTGTAGGAGAGAGGGAGACTACTTCCCGGTAAAAGTAGGTCTTAGACAAGGATGTGTAATGTCACCAACATTGTTTAACATGTGAGAAGGGTGGTATTAATTATGGGGAATCAAATACAAAAAGATAGTTGACACAGTTACTTATTGCTGATGATACTCTGCTTATGGGAGACTCTAAAGAAAAGTTGCAGAGGTTAGTGGACGAGTTTGGGAGGGTGTGTAAAGGTAGATAGTTGAAAGTGAACATAAATAAGAGTAAGGTGATGAGAGTATCAAATGAATTAGAAAAGAGAAATTGGATATCACATTGGAGAGAGGGAGTATGAAAGAAGTGAATGTTTTCAGGTATTTGGGAGTTGACTTGTCAGCTGATGGGTTTATGAAGGATGAGGTCTACCAGAGAATTGACGAAGGAAAAAAGGTGAGTGGTGCATCGAGGTATATGTGGAGACGAAGAACGTTATCCATGGAGGTAAAGAAGGGAATGTTTGAAAGTACATGTATAGTGGTACCAACACTCTTACATGGGTGTGAAGCTTGGGTTGTAAATGATGCAGTGAGGAGGCGATTGAAGGAAGTGGAGATGGTGTGTCTAAGGGCAATGTGTGGTGTGAATGTTATGCAGAGAATTCGTAGTGTGGAAATTAGGAGAAGGTGTTACCTGGAGGAATAACCTCCAGGTAACTAAAAGTATTAGTCAGAGAGCTGAAGAGGGGTTGTTGAGGTGGTTTGGTTATTTTGAGAGAATGGACCAAAGTAGAATGACTTGGAGAGCGTATAAATCTGTTGGGGAAGGAAGGCGGGGTAGGGGTCGTCCCCAAAAAGATTGGAGGGAGGAGGTAAAGGAGATTTTGTGGGCGAGGGGCTCGGACTTCCAGCAAGTGAGCTTGAGCATGTTAGATATGAATGGATGGGGATGAATGTTTTTTTTGGGACCTGACGAGCTGTTGGAGTGTGAGCAGGGTAATATTTTGTGAAGGGATTCATTAAAATCGGTTAGTCGGACCTGACTCCTGGAAATGGGAAGTATAATGCCTGCACTTTAAAGGAGGAGTTT